TAAGAGCCTTGCTCAAGTTTCTGTGCTTCTGCGTTATGTGAACCCTGAAAAACACAACTCTGGGCATGTGGGAGGACTCTCTCAAAGAATTTTTTTACTCTTCACAGAATAAATCTTTACATGCCAATTCATTTGCCACACAAAGTTCCCCGGAGGTAGGCTGTGTCTCTTTACACCATGTATAATCCAACCCCTGACTGGCATCCAGTTTGCTTCAAGGATTTCTGGACAGGCTTTGCATTTACTTAACTCTGAAAGAGTTGAGGGCATTAATTCTGGATCTGTATCTCCTCCCCAGATATGTATGAAGGGCTTTTTTGTTAGAGCTCTGTGATAACTGAGCTGATGTGGCTGCTTCCTTGGGATGGCAGTTCCATCATTGCCAGGAACGTTTCTGACCTCTGTGACAACACTTGGTGAGAAGGGAACACTTCTTGTGCCGTGTTTGCTTTAAATCCAAGAACATCATTTAGTTCATGAAAAGCCATTTCTGTGGCTGTTCTTCTGGAAAGGCTTGGTGGTCTCAGATCTTTTGAGGCATTTCCAGCCTGGTGAACATCCAGGCTGGAAATGGAACATCCAAGGAACATCCTAGAAGTAACATTGTCTTGGGCACCCTTTGGCAGCCCAGCTGGAGAGAGCAGGGCCCTGAGGCCAGACTCTTCTCCCTACAAGACTGTCCCCTTCAGAACAGAGGGGTATCAAAGTCACAAAAAGGAGAAACTGGGTATTTCAAATGCTGGTTCTGTCCTGGTACTGAACACACTTTTGGTTTTTCCCTCTGTGCCCTCAGCTCAGAATATCCATAATGACAATAGCAGTTCCATGACCAGCACTTTTCAAACCCCAAGGTCACCTAAGTCCCTACATGGCTGTAGAAAAATCTCAGCTTTTTACAGTTCTTATTACACAGAGGCTGGATGAGTTTCATGCCAACATGTTAGAATATTAACTGTTTAGCTATCATGGAAAGTCAGAAAGTCAGGAGTCAGGATCCCTGGGAACAAGGAGGAGTTCCAGAGACTCAGTCATTTCAGGAATTCCATTATTTTTCAAACACACCTGACACCAAATCAAACCAATACAAGTGACCCCAGACAACATTATAGCTGAAACCTGAAGCAGCTGTATTAGCAATATTGCAGTGAAGGGAACACTTTCATTCACTAGTTTTGTCTATCTTTCTTTCCTTCCCTGATTTTTAAGTGGCAGAGTTCAGAGCACAGCACTCTGCAGGATGAGACCTCCTGTAAAGGATTCCCTCCTCCCTGCCCTGGGAATTGCACATTTCCTTACCCTGATGTGCAAGCACTGAGCACAGAGCACTGGCTTGCTCTCACCTGTTCATGGGAACTGCATTTTAGTCTCACTCCTTTGCAAATCAAAGAGACTGGGCCGTGCCTTTCAGTCAAACAAGGTGTGAATGGAGATTTATGAAATGTGTATTGATAGCAACTCAAGAGTTGTTACCATCGCCTGTGGAGAAAACAATTGTCTGGGTCCTGTGAAATACCAACTGAAATGCTTTCATGTTGTCTTGACTTCAGGGAAAAACTGCTCTGATGTTCCCTGAGCTAGAAATGAGGTGATAACAAGGGGTCAGGTCCAAGTTAGTGGGAAAGCAAGTCAGACTTGCTTAGGGAACTTGCATCCAAAGTAAAAGGTAAAGACATCTGAATGGTCAGATTCCTTTTGTGGCTGTGAAAATTAAGGATAAAGCCCTTCATTGAAAGACCAGTTGAAGTAAAATGATTTTCTCTTTAACCTCTCCTGCCAAGTGTTAGGCAGAGAAAATTAGGGAGACACAATATCTGAGAAACTCACTATTGCTGCAATATAATATTCTGTGAGAAAATTATTCAAATATCAAATCTAGAGGAAAAAATGATACCTGACTTTCCCATCAAATGAAAAATGTTCACAAGACAAGAGTGACTTGGCCCATGGGAGCCAATGTCACATGTGAGGGCAACCTGGATAGGAGGTATCTTCTTTTATGGAGATAAAGGTCTTCACCTCACACATCAAAGTCACAAGGTTTCCTTTTTCTGGTGACTTTAGTTTGACATGATTATATGTGGCTGCATGTAATAACAGCAAGACAGATCTGTAACTTCAATTTCATCCTATTTTCTTGGCACATTTCAGAGATGGTAAGAGACATGCAAGAGAAAAGCAGTCAGGGGAGCTTTGCTGTGTTTTGTGTATTGTTTATGAAGTGTGAAAGCCTTATTTCACTACTCATTTTTCACATTTATTTCAGACCCTTGTCTTCCAAATGTTTATCTGCTCTGAGATTGAAGAGTTGTATAAACAAGCAACCCTGTCCATGGGGGCTGAGGGTTTTCTCAAGCTTTCTTCCCAAGAAAGCCCATAATTTGTCTTTTGAAATTCTCAGTGTAATCTCATGGAAACATGACAACAAGAGCTGTTGTCTAATGAGCAGCCTGGCTGAGAATCACTGCTGCACAAATACTCAGCTCCCAAGCCTGTGATTGTGTTGGGAGCACAGGGTTACATCAGAGCCCATTGTAAACCTCCCCTTCTGCTCTGACTGAGTCCTTTAAACTCAATTTCTGCAGAAAAATCCCAGTAAAACACCATGAGAAGTAGTCCCAGAAACCCTAACAAAACACACACAGTTCAGGTTGGGAGAAAGTTAAACCACATGTGACAGAGCACCTGGTCAGGGCACAGTCTGGGCTCCCACAGACACAGGCAGACCTGCAGAAGCACAAAATGCAGGTTGCTGGCTCTGTAGGGATTTATTCCCTGGGTATTAGGGGAAGTTCAGTGGGCTCATGAATGTCAGACTTACCAAAGGTGAGCTCTAGGCCTCTCTCTCAGGCAGAGGTCTTGGCTAGACTTGGTGGAAGCTGAAACTTCCACATCCTCTCACTCCTCAGGGTAGCTCCATGTCAGGCTCCATCTGGCAGCCTTGGCCCTGCCAGGCCCATCCTGGCCCTGGTTCTCACCTCAGCAGCTCTGGGGCTTGTGTGCAGCCCTGGGCTCACTGCAAGGCTCCTGGCTGGCATCACTTGGTGCCCTTCTTACTTAGAAGTTTTTCCTTATTTCCCACAACTTGTGGAAGCAATTGTGGGGCCTCTGTTTCTGCTTTAAATGCATAATTTTGTATTATACCCATTAAAAATAATGAATTTGGGAGGGGTCACTGCATGGATATCCTGACATAGCTATGTTTAGAATTATAGATAGAGCATAAGAGATTTCTGCCCTAATTTTTTGCAATTTAATTCATAATTATCCTTGAGTACAGTTGGGCATGTTCATGACTTTGCTTCTACTTGCCTGAATAGTTTTTATCTTAATTTCTTGCCATCTGTAAGTTTGTGTTCAGAGCAGTGTTGAGGAGGCAGAGCTGGTGCTGCTGAGCAGCTGCTGCTGCACTCACTGCTGTGAGAGCCAACTGCTCCCACTGGGAAATGCTGCTCTGAGCTGCTGCTGCTGCTGCTCACTCCTGACTGGGGACACTGGTGTTTGCCATTGCTGCAGGACCTCAATTACATGTGCCACTGCCTGCACACAGCAAAGGACATTGCTCTGCTGGTTATGGGACTTGTGGGGCCACTGCAGTGCAATTTGATCAGGTTCAGAAGTGATTTTTGGACTTGTTTTGAAGTACTGAATTCTCCCCCTTGCCTCCCCCATTCAATTTCTATTTCCTTCTTCTGCCAAGAGAAAATTCTTCTTATTGAGAAATTCTCATTTGGAAATAACTTTTGTGTCTTTCTTTTTCTAATTTACATGCTATGTTTTGGAGTCTAAAATCAGAAACTCTGTGACATGTTCTTCGATGGGATTTGCAATTTTTCTTCCCATAAGAAGACTCACGTTCCTCTGTGACCCTGATGGATGTGATGTGCAACTCAGGCTAAAGGATCTTGTGTTCTGGTTTGGTGGATGCCATTCACTTGTGGTGTTTTTTGGGTTTTTGTTTGGTTTGGTTTGCTTTGTGTTGTGCTATTTTTTTACTTTTAGAAAAGTCTTTCATTGTTCATTATCTCAGTTTTCAGATTTTAAAATATGCCAATCATTGTTGTGAGGACTGTCCCCAAAACCTGGGTAAAGAGGCATCCAGCATTAGGGTTAAAGGCTGCCATTTATATTTATGGGGCATCTCATTCTAGATGTGAAGGGACTGAAGCTGAAATCAGCCAAGGATCTCAGCTGGGTGCATTTGTAGAACTGACAATAGCTCAGCCTGAAGCTGACAGACAGCAAGTACTATTTTTACCTCAGGAAACTTTGAAGACACTTTGCTGTGACTTCATTTTCTGCTTCAAAGTTGAGAAATGTCGAGACTTCTGTTGAAGAAGACTGACGCTCTCCCAGGGTCAGCTGTCTGTGACAAAAATATTTCCCAATACTGACAGTGTGGTTCTAATCCTTCTGCTCAGAAATAATGATTTGGGTGTACTCTGATAACTGATCCTGGTATAAGCCTTCTGGAGAATGAGATTTGAGGTCTTTTTCACCTTTGGTTCAAGTTTTGGTATGGGTAATACCTGATTACTCAAGTGCAGTTATTCTGTATATATTTATGCCTCATTTCTGTAATGCAGACACTAATATTTACTTCCCAGGTTTTCACATAAACCTCCTGCCCAGGTTTGAAAATGTGTTCATTGGAGTTTCTACATCTACTGGCAAGGGATGATTTCCATTTGATGTATTTGAATGTCAAAAGTGTTTTGGTAATGGGCTATGAAAGATATGGCCAAAAGTAAAATTTTGGCCTCTGCATAATTACGTGTGAAAATGAAAAAAGGGTTAATTAAGAAACACTAAGAAAAAAAAAAAAAGCAAGAAATAGAAAGACCTCAGGACCATCAAGAAGTAAGACATAGAGTATAACTTGCAAAGACATCAGTATGTATTGAATTAATTGTGTTCTAAAGTCCCTTCTCTAATAATAGCTCATGTCACCCTGCTGCTGTGGGATATCATTGCTAAATGATTCTTTTTTTCTTTATTCACAGACCCCACAGCCAGTTGAAAACTACATCAGTGAAGGAGAGTTTGAAGACGATCTGAGTTCTTCTGCCCCGAGCACAACGGAGCTGGAGGTCCGTGGGTCCAGCCAAGAAACAGATGAAGATTATTTTGAAACCGTGTCACATCAGAGTGGATCTTTGTCAGATGTAAAAACTGAGCCTTATGAGAGTGCATCAGACACAGAATCCCTTTCCAGTGACATAACTGGGAATGCTTGCTCGGAGTCAAACTGCCTGCTTACTGAAAAAACCCCCCTGTGCTGTAATCTTCCCAAAGGAAAGGCAGAAACCTCCCAGGAACAGAACAGCTCCAGGCAACCAGAGTTCACCCAGCCTGGACAGCTAGAATTGTCCTCCAAAATAAAAGAAGCACCAAGCAAAACTGAATTTTGCATCCAGTGTGCAGAGTTAGAAGGTGAAGATTTGGGTGATGAAGAGCTAACGTTATCCAGTGATGTTTCCACCACAGACAGCCAAGTCTATGAAGAGAACATTTCATCACAGGCAAAGAGAGAGTCTGTAACAGCACTGCAGAGTAAGGCAGAGTTAGAAAGCAGGGAAGTGCAGTCTACCAACCCAGTACTTAAAAAAAATGACATTGCAAGACTGAAGGAACACCCTGCAGTATTCAGCATTGCTTGTTTCAAAGCAAACTCAGAAAGTTGTTTGATTTTTCCTGAAGTGCAGCAGTTTTCCTTCCAGTCAGATGCAGCACCAAGCTGCAGTTTGCCTAATCTGCATTTTGAAACAAATGGGCCTAACATTAAAAAAGACACTGAGACACCTGACTGTAAGTGTGAATTAGAGTCTATGTCCAGTATAAAATGCAGCAGGAGGAATTCAGCTGACAGTGAGGACACCACAGGTAAAAGGATAAAATATGGAAGTACAGAAACCATGCTGACATCAGATTCACTCTCCTACCAGAGTTGCTTCAACCCAAAATCCTGGCTACCACAAAAAAGGTCAGAGATTATAGAAAGTAAAACATGGCACAGTGTACCTGAAAACATCAGTGCTCAAAGGGAGACAGAATGTGTGGTGAGCTGTATTCACCCAACAGACAAATTTAGATGGTCATGTTCCAGAATACATCTTCAAGAGCTGGATTTTGAATACACTTGGAAAAACTTAGGAAGGGTAACTGTGAGCCCTGAAAAGGCTATAGAAATAGAGGGCCAATTTGGCATGGAAAGATCTTTTCTTGATACTGACACAGACTCAAAGGTGTGTCAGGTTTCCCAACCAGCAGCCTCTCCCCAGTGCATTGATCCTTGTTTGCACTCTAAATCAGAGACATGTGGCCTTAGCCCAGAGCCAGCTGGTACTTGTGCTGACAGCTTAACATGGAGTGATGCTTGTGAGGATCCAAACCAAGAGGAGAGATCTTCTTCCCTGGATTGTGATCCAGGGATCATAGATGCTGAGGAACTTACACAAAACAATGAGTGCATAGCTGAAAGAGATCCACAAGTGAGCAGATTCCCATGTGATATTGATACTGAACTTACACAAAACAATGAGTGCACAGCTGAACAAGATCTAGAAGTGAGCAGATTCCCATGTGATATTGAACTTACACAAAACAATGAGTGCATAGCTGAAAGAGATCCACAAGTGAGCAGATTCCCATGTGATATTGATATTAAACTTACACAAAACAATGAGTGCACAGCTGAACGAGATCTGGAAGTGAGCAGATTCCCATGTGATATTGATATTGAACTTACACAAAACAATGAGTGCACAGCTGAAAGAGATCTGGAAGTGAGCAGATTCCCATGTGATATTGATATTGAACTGACACAAAACAATGAGTGCATAGCTGAAAGAGATCTGGAAGTGAGCAGATTCCCATGTGATATTGATATTGAACTGACACAAAACAATGAGTGCACAGCTGAACGAGATCTGGAAGAGAGCAGATTCCCATGTGATATTGATGTTGAATCAGACACTGGTGACACTGAGAGCCCTGCAGCTTCTCATGCAGGTGCTCCTGCAGGTGTGGAAAGCACAGACTGGGATTGCTCTGTAAACTGTGTTTCCAGTAGTGGAACACAGCACACACATTTGAAGGAGGATGGCCTTGAATCTGAGCTGTCAGATACTGAGATTGTGGCAGGAGAAAGATGGGCAGATGATTCTGATTCTTCTGATCTTGGCTTTGACTGGAAAGTCCTGGAAGCTGCAACACAACCAGATGGCAGTGACAGAGGGGCAGAGCATGGAGAGTCAGTGCAGCAAAATGCAAGTTGCAAAACTGGTGCCTTGAGGAGCCACTCAGAGCTAGGAACATATGAACATCCTACTCATGAGGGAAAGGATGAAGAGAGTGTCTTGGCTGTTGAAAGGGCTCTCAAATCAGACTATATAAGGCAGGAAAGGGATGTAATGACTACTCCAGAATTAAAGCCTGCCCTAATTACAGTCTCTGTGGAAGAGAAAGGGTTACAGTCCCAAACACTGAATGATAACCTTCCTGTTGAAGTGGTAGCTGAAACATTGGGAAATGTAGTGAGCAAGGATTTGATGTCTCCTCATACTGTCAGGAAAGCTCATGGTGAGCCAGAGAGAGTTCTGAGTGAATGCTGTAACTGTGAAGAACTAATTCTGGCCACCCACCCCATTCCTGGCAGTGCAGAGGTACTTTCTGGTAGGGATACAACTGAAGTAAAACCAGAAATTTCAGAAGAGAAAAGAGAGAAAACAGAAGTAGTTTCATCCTCAGGGCTCACCTGTAGTAATTCTGCAGTAGCAAGTGCAGAATTGGAATTCAGGAATGTTGCTGTAGCATTAGGCAGTGACATACTTCCTGCAGAAATTCAGACAGATCCATGTGAAAAAACACTTGTGAAATCCCCCAGTGGAAGCAGTGTGGAGCTCCCTGAGGATGAGCACTGCAGAGGAAGGCCACTGGTGACTGGAGCAGTGCCACTGGAAACCAGCAGCAGTGTAAGCAGTGTGTGCCAGGAAGGTGGTGCTGGTGTCAGCCTTGAAGGGCCCAGCACTGTAAAATCACAGGGTAGAGGTGATGTGATGGCCTTTGAGGAAGAGCCCTGCAGAACAAAGAGGGGTTTTGAATTCAGGAGAGAACAGTTAGCAAGGTCAGGCTTTGGAAACCTTGGAAGAAGCAATGACCAGGTGTCTAAGGAAGAGGAATTCAAAGCACATGGAAGCACAGAGGAAGGTTTGAATATTACCAGGGCAGTGACAGTGGAAATGAGCAGCAGTGTAAGCCGTTTGTGGCAGGGAGATGGTGCTGGTGTCAGCCTTCATTGGCCCAGCATGGTCTCTGAACGAGCAGTAGGCAGGCGAGGAAAGGAAAGCTGTAAGGGCTCAAAGGAAGAAACAGGTATTTGTGAAGAACCCTCTCCTAGGGAAGGAAAGGAGGCCTCTCCTGCAGAAGACACCTCTAGCCCCAGCAAAGACAATGCACTCAGTCTGGATGTATCTGATGTGTTTGATGATTCTCTGAACAGGGAGACCCACAGCACTTTCATGCTGGGCCTGGACAACGTGAGTACCTGCAGCACTAACAGCGAGGAACTGGATGAGATCTCATCCCACATCCTGGGGAGTAACAGCAGTCTCCATAAAGCTGTACAAAAGCCAACAAAGAATGAATATAGTGGGAAATCCTCCAGGTTTTTAGTATTCCCAAAAATGACATCTTTCAGGAAAACTAAGCCTGCCTCATGGGAAAGTCAGGGAAGCAGCAGTATCTTTGGCAGCAAGGTAAAGATGGAAGAACTGGATGTTGGGAAAGATGACGACGACACTGCAAGTTTACTGTCTTTCAAAAGTTGTTCATCTGGTTTAGTCTTCCACAGGAAGGAAAGCTACACCTCTGAGTACTCCGATGATGATGATTTATTTTATGAGAGACCTGCAGGATTTTTCAGACTGAGCCTGAGGAAGGCCTCTGGCTCTGGTCGGATACTGATGGAAGATGCAGATCGACACGTTTCAGGTTCATCTGAAAACAATGACAGTGAACCTGTGGAGCATTCAGGGATTAGAAAATCATGCCCTGAAAATGAACACAAAAGAAACAAAACCCCTGAGGGTAAGAAGTTCAAGACAAGGTTGGCCTTGGCACACAAATCCCTCTCAAGCTTATTTGAGTCCAAATGTCCAGAAAAGGAGAACACTGAACAAAGCTCAAAAGCGTCAGTGAAAAATGAAAAGGAGAAAGTCAAAATTCGCCAGAGCACCTGGAAAGCTTTTCTAAAGAGCAAGGAGGCAGATGGACTAAAAAGGCCTGTCCTGATAAGTTTATCATCCACACAGGAGGGTCTCAGTGCAACCAGTGGCCACGTGTTAACACCACTAGAGCAACAGTATAGTTCCAATAGACACACTTTTTTAAAAACAGAAAGAGATAATGGCTCTTCAACAGACTCCAACTATTTTGACAGCTCTGTGGAGCCTCTTGATGTCTCTTTACCTACACGTATGTGGAGAAGACGAATACAGTCCCATGACTTGGGTATCAGATACTCACAGAATTCAGATTGTGATGAACAGCAGGAGGTTCTGAGCAACAGTTTAAATACTTCTCTTGAGGAATACTGGATTAAAACTCCATTTAGCCCCCCTGACTTCCAGCTGGAATTTAGTCAGTCAAGTCCATCATGTCCCCAGCTCTCCAATTCTGATGGTAAAGACATGCCCTGTAGGCCCATGAGTCCCAAACCTCAGAGCTCACGATCCACTTCTCAGCACAGGACCTTTGGCTACCCCGGGCGCGTTTGCGCCGCTTCTACGCTCTCTCTTGGGAACAGCTCTGGAGTGGAAAGCAGTCTGGAGGCTCCTGAGAGGCCAAAGACACTGAAACCCAGGGGAAGTCTCTTACACTCGTTGGACGACTTCCAGAGGGATGACAGTGGCATAAGCAGTCAATCCCAGATCAGCTTAAACACAGCTTCTTCCATTAGTGACATGCTCCGAGACGAGGTGAGTTCTTGTCAGGGAATGACCAGGGAGTGGTTGGGTTTGCTCTACTATGGTTTAGGAATTCCAGTGAAAATCTTCAATGGCTCAATGGCTCATTGCTTAGATGAGTGCAAAAATATTCCTCTTGGTTTAAGACAGGTAGCACTGCTCATTCTTCCTGTTTCTGTTCAAGACTGTATGAATCGATGTGCTCTCAAAGGGAGGATTTGCTACAAAAACCCAAAGGAATGGAGCAATCACAACACCATTAAGCATTGTACAGACATCACCCTGTGTTCATCTCCAGGTTTAAGCTGGGTTTTACCCCTTTTAAGGCAGAATTGAGCCTTGTAACTGGTGTATAGTAAATAAGTTTCTCATTGTGAAAGGCAACAAAGATATCAAGACCTATGGCTAGCAGTCACTTTTTAAGAAGTAAAATCACAATGAGTAGCTGTCTTTAGAAGTACCATGTGTCTTTTGCAGTCACCATAAGTACCTTTTGGTTGCTACTAGAAATCCTCTTTTGCCCTTTCTACAACAAACAGAAAAAAACCCCAAACTGCAGGCTCAGGGTCTCCTTTTCATGTTGTATTTTGTTCTAATCCAGGTAACACATTAGGTCCTTTGCACAGGCTGAATCTCAGGGAACAGATTGGATCTTCATTAGGAATTTTGTGATTGGCTGAGACTTCTAAAAGCAGAGACTTCCTCTGTCAGTAGGTTTTTAATCCCAGAGAGGATTTCCCAAGCTGTAAGTGGCTGGGAGCTTAGGAATCTCTTTCAGTGGCTAAGCACAACCCCCAGAGTGACTGAGACTGAGCTGTAACTGAGATACCAGAACATGCCTCGACCATGCTACTTTTTCACTATTATTGCTGATGAGATTTGACATTAAAAAATGGGAGAATAATTTTTTTTGAGCAGATTGTCAGAAGTGGTACTTGAAAGAGTGCATGAACTTTTGCATACCCCAAGTATGGTATTTTCAGACAATTTTCAGAGGGTTCATTAATCTGGAGCTTCTTGATCAATTCATAACAGCTGAGACATACCCTGAAAGCAAGAAGAAAACGTGTTTAGCTTGTGTTCAACTCAAATGAGCCTCACACATCTTTTGCTGCTGTTGCCTTTTGCTGTTGCCATCTCAGCTTACATTAAGCCTTTAAGATACCCTCCAAGATGGTCTTATCCTGCCTTTTCTCCATACTTTTTTACAGAAACTCCCTATTTTTGTATAGAAACAAAAAAAAAGATAGGCAGAACCATCTCTTTATCTAGCCAAGTCTTGAAAACCTCCATTGCTGAAGGTTTCACTGCCTCTCTGGGAAACACATTCCTTGAGATTTTTTTTTTCCTAATGCCCAACAAGAACTTTCCAAGCTGCAGTTTGTGGCCACTGTCTTGTGGCACTGTCTGGCACTACTGAGAAGAGCTGGGTTCCATCATCCATGTAAATACAAAATTGTTGGTGACTGCTCTTACACTGCCTTTAGTGCCCTCTAATCAGCTTGAATAAACCCAGCTCTCTCAACATCTCCTCATATTCCCAAATGAAAGTGTTTTTGTTGATTGGCTTGGGGTTTTTCTCTAAAGCTGTCTGGAACCCAAAGAAGTGTTTGGGGGGCAGTTTGAGAGGTGAGAGCTGTGGTATCAGAATTCCAGGGGAAGAGAATTAGCTTTATTCCCTTCTGTGCTTAGCTTTACTGGAAAATCTTTTGTTTCATGGGCAACAGGTTAACCTACAAACTTAATGCTGCAAACTGCATTCCAAACAAAAGACTGCAGCCTAGGAAAAAGCAAAAGACTTGGACTATACACACTGTAAACAGATGAAGCCTCTCAGAGGACGAATAAAATCATTGACCTGTAAATTACAGCTCAAAAGAACATCTAGAAAAGAGTGTAGAGATGAGGGATGTGTAAAGCCTTGAAAAGGCAAGCCTACATGCTATAATGTAAGCATTAGGAGCAAATAAATAATTACTTAAATTGATTGCTAGGTTAAATTATTCAAAGAAAACCATAAAAAATTTAAATGGTATCTAAGACATATAAAAACAGTTTCATTTTCCTGATTCTTCTGGAGGCTGCAGAATATGATATCTGAAATTGTACAAATGCAGCTGGAGTCTAGAAATTAATGCAAATGTCCCAGACTTCAAAACACATCATCTAATCTATTAAAATAGATAGGGCTTTATTTATTTCCCTTTTCATGACATTGTGAAATGAAGTAGAATTGCACCCTGGATTTTTAAGCAAAGATATATTTTCAGAATCTGTGAAATTACAACAGACACTGTGCAAAGTATATTTGCAGTGTTAAATCTTTCCAAAATAATTATCATCTATATGCTAAAGATGGCCTTCCTTATGTATGCTGCTTCCCAAAGAGACCATAAAATTCAGTTTATTGGTGAATTTGAAGAAAAGTTCTTTTCTGTTCCACATGAGTAAAGACATTAGTGCAAAACATACCTGTAATAGTGAAGCTCTTGAGCTCACCTCCCACTGTGCCCTCCAGGGTGGGGATTTGTATTTATTCCCCAGCCAGGTGTTTTTATATCTGTGTCAGCATTATCTGTGTTAGTGCTGTGCCAGACTGCACTGGATCAGCTCACCCTGGACACCTCTGGCTCCCACTCAGGTAAGTGACTCCCCTGAGCCTGGTGGAGCGCTTACCAGCCCCTCTCTCATTTCCTGCTAGTGGTTAACATTGCCCAGGTTTCATCCAGCACAAAGATTTTATGCTGCAAACAGCAAGACAGAACCATTACAAGTTTGCCCATCTGCCAGGCCCTTCCGTACATGTTTAATTAATCTGTTCATGGCATGATTTTATTTGCATAAATTGTGTTACTCAGCAGGCAAGAGCAAACTGTCCTAAAATGTCCCATGTTTGGAATTCACATGTTCTTCTCCTTGCTCCTGTCCAGTGAGGTGGGGTTAGGCACAAAACACCTTTTTCACAGAATCTATTCTTTCGAGACTGTGGCATGTCTTATGAGGGGAGAAGAATTAACCTGGAATTGTTGGTTAGTTGGAAATAGAAAGGAAGTGCCTGCAGTGGTTTGAGGGTTGGTTTATTTGGGTTCTTCAAGTGATCTGTGAGAAACTGGACAGATACTATTGTCAGGATTCTTTTTGTCATGACACTCCTGAGTTCACTCATTCCCCAGTGTTGTTATCTCCTGCCTTAAATATTATTGATTCTCACGCTGATGCTACCTGGAGTAGTAGCTGGTTGCCTAAGGGCACACTTGAATTCAAGTTTTTTGAGTATAAAAACTGTAATTTTGTGCAACCACTCAAATGGGAGTGAAGGGCAAAGCTGTGCAATTCCTTGCTCTTGGCCCAGCATCAAGCAAATAAAAAGGATACTGTAAAGAGCACATCAGGAAGCACAGAGCTTTATACATCAGACCTGCAGGCATCTATGAAGCCTTTTCACTTTGTATAACTGAAGTACAGTTGGAAAACCAGAAACAGACAAGAGGTAATTTTTCTGTTTTCAGAGACATGTCTGTGTTTGTAAACAATATTATAGAGTGACCTAAATCCTGGTGGAATGTCAGTGTGATATGCCATCTAAAATGAGGGTGAACAGGGCACTGTCCTGGGCACAGGGAGTGAATATTGCACCCTCCAAGGACAGCAGAGCTGCTGCTTCAGGGTGGAGTGCTGCTAAGTGTTTTCTTCTGAGTGGTTCTGTGGCTGAGGAACAGAACTTTGCCATCTTCTGTTCAAACTGACTTGAAGCAAACAAGATTTCCATCCAACAAACCCTGTGTTTTCACCTGCAGTTTGTAAACCAGGAGTGTAAGCAGCTATGCCAATCAGCAGCTGGGAAGCGGCCCAATAAGAAATGGGTTCCCCATCGCAAAAGGAGACCCCCCCGGGTGCCAGCCTGCCCCGTGGCCACCCTGGAGAGCAGAGCCCGCACGCTCTCCTGCCCTGCTCCCGAGGAAAAGGCCAAGGAGATGCCAGAGAGGAGGAGGAAGAGACCCAAACCCCTCTATAAGTGCTTCAGCTTCGATGATGTTTGGATGGAGAGGAGTCAAAAAAGGAAGCTAGAGAAGGAGACACAGCCAGAGGGAGGGGTTCAGTTGCAACATCTCCCACAGGACCCCTCAAAAGTAAGAAGCCACACAGCGACCTCCTTGTTCTCTGGCATTGCCTTCCTCTCTGCTCAGGCTGTTTCTCTCTGCTGCCATCATGTTCCTGTCCTTACACTTTGTCTGGTACCACTTCTGTCAGCATTTCTGTGGGCCTGGTTCTCTGTGGAGACGGCAGAAACACCAAACTGGCTCTTAGGTGATAACATCTGAAGGTGGTGGGTTCCTTAGCTTCTGAAATCGAACAGTTCATGCCCTGTGAGATGTTGGGAATAGAATGCAAGAGAATCAAGTTGCTTGGTGAGCTGAGTGATGGGGAGGGCAAGGAGCAAATCAAAATTTCTTTAAATCAATATAAATTAAACTGATGAAATCTCATTCTGTGCCCTGTGGTGTTGCTATATAACTTTAATAACAGACTTTAAATTAGACTTCCCTTGTATCTGATGCCAACTCCACAATTCCTACTGAAGCAAATTCCTGCTGTGAAACACTCAAGAGAACATTGCCATTGGATTTTTAGCTATTAATATTCTCCTCTCCACTGAGGGAGACGTTTTAGTTCAGCATTATGATTGCTTGTGAAAAACTTTGTGGCTGTTGTGAGTCACACTGATGGCATCTGTTACTTTTGGATCCAGAGCTAAGGTCTGTTCCCTTCAGGGAGAGTCACAAATCTCTATCCAAGAGCCAAAATTAGCCTTAATACATACAAAAGAATTTCTGGGGAAAAAAGACATGAGATCAAGGGATGCTCTATGAAGCCTCTCACGATAATATTGAAAAAGTTTCTGATCAAGCTTGAAATCACGTAGCAGATACTCAAGTAAAAGCTTTCCTCAGGGGTTTCTGTTTTGGTCTGCTATCTGTGTTTGCTTCCCGTTCTCTCTGTTGTCCTGGTTGCCTGTCTCTTGTTGTTATTACATTAAAGTGACAATTTTCGAGAGGAGATGAGGTCTCAGTAGTCCTATCACCACATCAGAATGTGCTTGAGATTATGTGCACAGATAGTTCTGTGAATGAGAACTGTGAGGGGAAACACTGGCTTGCCCACCATTGCTTGTCCACAGAAAACCTGTCCACCTGGGAGAGCTCCCATCAAACTGACAGACGCCTGGGACAGCAATCCCAGAAAGAGGGCTTATGCAAAACTGCCCCCTGTTCTCCCCTTCTCAAGGAAAGACACTAAAAATCTGGGCTATTTTATATGTGTTGGGCTCTTCAACACAGTGTGGCCAGTTGCTGCCCGGATGAGTGCTGGAAATGATTCTCTGATGTGTTTCCCACTCTCAGTTCAGTGAGGATGCTTCCCTGGCTCAGCTCCATGATAGAGACAATGAGTATTGCTCTTGAGCTTTGTGATTGTTAAGATAAAAAAAATTTGAAAATAAATGACTTGGGTTACCTCTCTATCTTGGCTGAAGTTCTGAGTGCTTAGTGCTGTGCAGGGATGAGGCAGGCTAGTGAAAGTGAATGCCTGGCTTACACAAGGTCAGGGATTAACAGAAATCAGTGAAATGTACTAAAAATATTTCTCCCAATTCCTGGACAAGCATGGGTAGTGATGGAAATCCAGCTGATGCTGCAGGGCATGTGGGCCAGCACTGAGCCCATTAAGGCTGCTCAGAGGAGTGACCAGTTCCCTCAATAGCTTCCCCTGGAGCCATCAGATCACACAGCTTGAATGCTGTCTGCTCTGCTGATTGACTGCACATTTGGACTGGCTGCCAGAAAACAGCTTCTCCTTTAAGCATTTCCACCCTTATTTTCTGGTGCAAACTCACCTCTAAATTGCAATCAGCTGCACGATGATTTGCAGCTGCCCCCGTGCCCACGAGGCCTCTTTGAACATCACCTGCCCAGGGGCTCTTGGACCTCAGTCAGATTTCTGGTTCATTCTTCTCCGGGAAGAAGGGTGTAGGTAGGTTTGGGGTTTACTGTTTCTGTCCATTTGTGTTTTGTAGGTTATTGGCACCTTAATCTTTGTAGGCAGGCCAAGAAAGCAAAGTGCTGGTTTAATGAGAGGACTGTGGGGATTCAAAGTCTCTTTTTTGTGCCATATAACTGAATTTCTTGGCCTGTGCTTTTTATTTATAATGGTAATCACACAGTTTATTTTTCACAGCATTTTATTCTGTCTTTGCAATGCTCTAGTCCTGTAATAGTGCTGGTTTATTCATACTCCCAAGTGCCTTGGGGGTGCTGTCACAAGCTGCACTGTTTGAGGGCAGTTTTAGAAGGATGCTGAATCCCTTTTAACAAGAAGGAACAAATTATCCCAAAAGAAGCTCTGTAAGATGTTCATTGTCCGTTGTGGTTCTGTGACTGCAACAAGGGGACTGTATGGGGCTTTGGAGAGCTGAAATTACAAGTCTGATGTTTTCTGACATGGCTGCCTTGGGATGTGTGGCTTCTGTTGTGACAAGTCACATTGTGTTAAGTCAAGATCAGGTCAGCCCACAAGGTGATGTAATGCTGCAATATTGGGGAAACAACTCAATGGGGCAGAGCAGAGAGGAATTCTTGCTTATTCAAGTGCTGATTTCTGATACCATTCTATCATTCAGATGAATGTACAGAGAGGAGCATTATGGAAATATAAGGCTACTCTAAGGGCTGGCAGATGGGACAGGGAAAATGGACAAACAGTCAAGGACCTACCTATAAACTAAAAAAAAAACCCACCCAAAACCATTTAAAATGCCACTTCCAAACAATTTTATATATTGTGGATTTTTTTTGCTTAGGCCCAGTAAACTGCTCTGCTTCCTTAAATGGGTACAGGTTGTGTAAATTCCCAGTCAAACTCAAAGCTTGACCCAGCTGTCCCTTATAATGAGATCCTGCCACTAACAAGCTGAGCAGCTTCTGATCTTTAAAGTCTTAATACAGCACTCCCCATGCTGCCCACCCCAAGGGGAAGAGGACAAACATAGCTGTGGATGAATCTGTGTTCTTTTGCTGTCCATAGGCTGTGCCCTTCAGATGATGGTGGGTTTCAGGCTGTAGCCTGGGCTCCTCTTGCTTGTTTTTAATGCAGGAGAAGTTCCCTCACTGGAGCAGAGACAATGCCCCAGACCACTGCCGTATGGAATGCTGTAATGGCAATGGGCTCTGGTTTGGGAAGTATTCTTGCTCTGAACTGCCTGTCTATTGCCATCCAGTGCTTTCCTGTTTTGACAAAAATTTAAACCCTGGTTCTTAATCTTGATGCCTCTTGAGTGCACAGCAATAGAAGCACAGACATGGCTTCTACATGCATTTGTTTGAGCACAGTTTGTGCACTGCCAAATGAGAGAGATTCCTAAAAGGCCCATCAGGGGGCTATACCCAGAGTGGGTATCGTGCAGAAAAAGCTCTTTTGTTTTGAAAGAGAAATGACAAGCAGTGAAAAATAGATCTTTAGCTCATTGCTCTGAATATGACTTCTGCAAATCTGATTTTACCCCATCCAAAATAAGAGAAAAGGAAGTTTTGTTGTGTAGTACCATGGTCTGAGCACCGTGGATAACTCAAATAGATTTTAACACAGAAATGAATACACTTTGAGGAGGGAATTTAATGAAAAAAGTCTTCCCCTGATGTGCACCTGACAAGGCATGGATATACAACAGAGCCTCTGCCAGGGACTGAACTGCTGTGCACAAGAGCATAGAAATAACCTCTGGAACCTCTGGCAAATACAGGAGAGAGGACCTTTACTATAGTCTACTCCCTCATTCCTCATCCTCTCCCTTGTAGGATGTGCAATCCCTGCCCCATGTAGCTAACACTGCTGAAAATGCTTCTTCTCATGGGTTAGGGCTGTACAGGCCTGCCTTCCGTGCCATAGGAATCAAATGATGCCTGTACCAAAATTTGCTCTGAGGTCCCAGCAATTAATAATAATAAAACGTGCAGTTGTAACAGCCCTAGGCCAGGGTTCTGCTTTCTAGTCTTAAACAGAACAGTAATGCTTTCAACCACCTTTCATGTAAATAACTTAACTTCACCCTTGACATTTTCAGAGCTGTGGCCCAGTAAGCTTGATTTTCACTGTTGCCAGGAGAGTGTGTGCTCCCACTGGATCTTTGCCGTGACTTTTCTAGAGAAACAGGCACTGCTGAGTTTAATTTGAACAGGGTTCATGCTATCCCTCAAGAGATGGTGATTTGTGTTCTCTTTGTTTTAGGAAAGTTAAGTCCAGGAATAGAAAACCAAAGCAGGCATGGAGCAGCAGCACTCTCAGCTGTGTGAGCACTGTGTGCTGGTTAGTTTGGGAAGGAGGGTTTGGCTAATGGCCATCATCAGGAGAGGTTTCAGCATCAAGGCTGGTCAAAACTCTGCTGATAGGACATGCTGTGTGGTGGTGGGGAGAGGGAAACACCCTAGAGATCTCCGTATTTCAAGTTCCTGGCTCAGTGAAGGATGGATATGTTGTAACTCAATATCAGTGGAAAAAGGAAGGAGCAATAGTGATAGAAATGAAAAACTGGCTGTGCCCGTGGGACCAGTGCTTACTGACCAGCTGATCTCCCAGCCACTGCTGTTTTCTGCATGTGGCAGCCACTGGAGAGAAAAGGAAAAAGGGATAAAAGCATACCTGCAGCATGCCTTAATTACTACATTCTGTATTAGAGGCCATGAGCTATGTGTATGTACTTCTATGTTTTCCCCTTTAAACCAGCAAAAGTTAGTAATTCAATGAGATCTGGCAGTGGTATAGAGTTTTCAAAGTTTTATTAAATTCTGTAAGTTTTAAAAAATCAATCAGACAGGTAGAAGAGAGTGTGAGAATTCTTACTAGTACCTCTAGCTGAAGAGAAAATGTTGTTATCCACACTCTGTATGGCTGGTAGCAATAAATCTTTGAAGAGAAAAGCTTTATTTTCCTGTTAAATACCAGAAGAGGACCCATTAGTCACAAAGCTCCAGGAACAGCTATGTAGCTGAGGGGATGACTCCTTGTAGTGATATTAACCTCCATCCCCCACCAGAAACACTTTATAGGGAGGAGTAAAACTTTCTGTGAATGGAGGTGTGTGTGGCTGTATGTGAAGGATGAATCTGTTCTTATCACCTTGCAGTTTTCCTTGCCTTCTCACTGTTTTCTAACATTTCTAGCCACAATCATCCATGTGTGTCCACTAACATGCTGCTTTCTTACACGGGCAGCTATCAGAGGTGGGAAGAGGTGCTCTGGGGTGAATGCTGGGCATTTAACTGAATGTTTGTTGCCCTGTCCTGTTGCAGGCTGGGATAAGTCCATCCATCACATCTCCTGTTGCCTTTGACATCCTGCCCCTGAAGCTGCATTCCTTTTCCAAGAGCACCCCGACAGGCCTGGACTGCGTGGGCTGCAAGCGGCGCATCTCCGCTCCCGGTGCGTACCCCGGGCTGGGCTGGGTGGGGGCAGGAGAGAGTGAAGCTCTGCTTTACTGAGCGTGATAAGCCTTCTAACCTGTCCATGATGATTGCTGCATCCATGTCTCAGCAGAAATCTGTTTTAGAGTGGAATCTTTCAAATGCTTTCTCTGCTTTAGAGTGGGACCTTTCATGTGCTTTTCATATTTGGGTTTGTTTTCTCCCTGAGCGGATGAGCAGGGTGCTGTTTAGAGGCATGGCCAGCTTTTTAGTGAAGAAGAGATCACTCCTTGCAATGATGGTGTGCTGTAAGAATTCGTGCCTGCTGGGCTGTTTGAGTCCTGTCCAGCAGCTATGGACCCCAGCCCACACGATCTCACATGGACAAAGGCAAAAGATGAGAAGCACTCTTCTCCACATGGGGATTAAGTCCGAAATTTGTTTCCTTGATAGGAGACACCAGATCATCCAGGTGACCCCCAGATGGAAAAGAGGGTGTTGCCTTCTCCAGGGGGGGATTTTGAGCTGAGGGGAAGGGGGCAACAGCCAATGGGGTCCAAGTGAGGAGGGTGAGAGGAGGGGTAACCCAGGCAGAGAGGCCCAACACTGATGCGGAAAAAGGGGGAAGGCCCTGTGGTGACAGAATACAAATCATGTGAACAGTGCAAATTACCAAACACCCAGTGCAAATAACTGAATAACTATGTAGTGCAATACAACAGGGTGCCTGATGGAGAAACATTGTGTTGTCTCGTGAGAACTGTCCCACCTATGATGATGTCACCTCTGTCACACTCTTGAATTAGATTTCTGCTGATGAAATAGACTCTGCCTTGTGTTTGCTGGAGAGCACTACAGTGGGTATGGTGAGATTCCTCTCAGGTTGCTAATTAGGCACTAAAGCAACTAAATGAGCCTCTAGAGACAGAAGTTTCCTGTACTTTAAATCCCCCTAAAGAACAAGTATGCTGTGTTTTCATGAGGAATGCACATGAAGTATCATGTCTGCTTCATTTCCGATGACTGACACTTTCTCAGAATTAAAATGTAACTTGCACAGATTATTAAACTGTGAGATGTATCTTTGCCAGGTTTTTAAATTCTCCATCTGACAGTGCCTGCCCAAACACTGCTGATATCTCTATCACAGCACTTTGGGCTGGAATAAGGAAAACAGAATGCAGAGGAGTTGTTTGGTGTTTAGGAGCCTAGCCAGGAAAAGCCAGCCACAGTTGGGTGCCAAACTGCCATTTCTGCCTCAGAAGGTCTCTGTACCATCGATTAAACCCTGCTGGAGTTAGTTACCTAATTAAGGGACAATAACATTCTACTAATTACATCAGAGTTGAATGGTCATAGTATTTTGTCAAGCAAAACTGGTTTGTTTTCTGACACTTAGTGCAGCTCTTGCACAGTCATGAGGCTTGATCTGGAAATAAGAAAACTATTTATTATTGTGGTGTTTAGAGCCTTGCCTTTGCTCTCTCAGATCTCAGGGCTTTGATCATTTGCTGTCACAGGCATCTGGTGCTGCCCCAATGCTTAGGACCAGCTCCCTGGCTGAATTAAAAAAGCTGTAGCTTTACTCCTTGGAAATCCCACATGGAAAGCCATCATTGTCAAGTTGTCTGTGTATCTCTGACATCAGCTGAAATCCCTGAGCACTGCTGTCATAGAAGTACATTCTGAGTCACAGCTGAGACAAATTTCATGGTAGTTCCCAGCTGGGACATGAGGGAGTTAAAAAATATGTATGAATTTCTGAGGGTGAATAGGGGAAATAAATGTATGCAGACTGACCAGCTGGCAGTGCTGTAGGTGTTTATGTGCTGTCTAGAAATGGGGCCTGCAACCTGAATCATCTGTGATTCACACAATATTCCTGAGATAGGTACAAGTGAGTTTCATACCATGACCTAAGAATTTCTGAGTAAATGTAGCAAAACAAGTGAAATCCAGCAGAATCATTTTTCTACCACCAAAACCATGCTCCTGGGAAAGGAAACTGATGGAGAGAGGAAGCAGAGGTTCTTCTCCCACAGCCATCTCTGTTAGCTGCTGCATGTGGGCTTCATTTGAAGCATTTTGGGGGAGATGAATGTGGGCACGTGTCCTGCCTGTGGTGGGATGTGGATGAGAAGAAAACTGCAAGTTACTGAAGTAATGCAGTACTCTGAAGCTGATGGATCAGTTTTAAGATTGGCTATGTCCTTGAGGCAGCAGAATGCCTTCTTTGCTTCTTGTACAGATTTGTTGTAATACCTGTTGTTTTTGACAGAGCTGTAGGGCATGTAAAATAAATATAAAATAGTCAATTAATTTAATCTAATTTTAAGATTTCTAACTCCAAAGCTGCAGCTGCTTGTATTAATGATCCCAGTCTATGCTGTAGTCATAAAAGACAGTGGATATAAAAGTACTATGCAATATCCAGTGCTACTAGATACTTCCATGTTGAAAATACGGATACATTTCCCACTCCCAAAGTGGGAGAGATTGCTGCAGAGATTGGGAGGGATGGAGGATGGAGACCTCTCTAGTTTTGCAGTGTGAAATGATGGCTGGGATGGTCGCAGCCCAAAATGTGCCATGCACAGCTCTCGGACTCTGTCATGCACCTACCCGGGGCTGAGTCAAGAGCTGAGGACAGCCTGGCTATCCTGGGTGCATTTTGTTGTAACAGCATGAGAGCAGAGAAATTTCATTTTAACGCTGGATGTGCTGTGTCCGTCCCGGCTCTCTCGGCAATCGGATCCCCCGCTCTCACTGCCGTGTGCCCCGCTGGCAGGGACGGGCAGGGTGAGAGCCGGGCCCGCAGGGGGACAGGCCCTGCCCGCCCCTGCCTCAGCCCGGACAGGCCCTGCGGAGCCGGGCGGCACCGGCAGGTGGCTCTGACCGCTGTGGAATCACAGAATCACAGAATGACCAGGTTGGGAGAGCCCTTCAAGATCACCGAGTCCAACCCAGCCCCAGCAGCTCAACAGAACCCTGGCACCCAGTGCCACATCCAGGCTTTGTTAAACACCCCCAGGGATGGGGACTGCACCACCTCCCTGGGCAGCCATTCCAGAGCTTTATCACTCTTTCTGTGAAAAACTTTTTCCCAATATCCAACCTGTATTTCCCTTGGTGCAGCTCGAGGCTGTGTGCTCTGGCTGTGTCAGTGCTGCTGCAGACAGAGCCCAGCCCCAGCTGAGCACAGGCCCCTTTCAGGAGCTGTGCAGAGTGATGGGGGCAGCCCTGAGTCTCCTTTTCTGCAGGCTGAGCACCCCCAGCTCCCTCAGGGGTTCCTCATAGGGCTGCTCTTCCCAGCCCCTAAATGTGGTGGGCTGGGCCGGACTGTGCCCGGGCTGGGCCGGACTGTGCCCGGGCTGGGCTGGGCTGGGCTGTGCCCGGGCTGGGCTGGGCTGTGCCTGGGCTGGGCTGGGCTGGGCTGTGCCCGGGCTGGGCTGGGCTGTGCCGGGCCCAGCGGAGCCCCCGTTGGGAGGGTGCGGCTCGGCCCCCTCCAGCACACGCGGGCACCCCAGGGCAGCGAGCTTCACCGTCCTGTTCAAACATCAGAACACCTGAATGGTATGGGACAGCTTTCTTGGCTGCACACACGCTTCAGCAGGGAGTGTTGGTGAATACCGAGTGTCTTTCCCCTTTAGTTCACAGAACATTCTGGTTTGGAAGGGACCCAAAAGCATCATCAAATCCAACTCCTGGCAGTCCCCAGGAGCCACACCGTGTGTCTGAGGGCTTTGTGAAAATGCTTCTTGGACTCTGGCTGGCTTGGTGCTGGGACCACTGTCCTGGTATCAAACCACCTTCTAAAAAGTGAAAAAACCTTTTCCTAATATCCAAACTAAACCTCCCCTGACACAACTTGAGGCCATTCCCTTGAGTCCTGTCACCGACTGCCAGAGAGGAGAGATCATTGTCTGTCCCTCTGCTTCCCCTTGCAACAAAGTCTGACTGCCACGAGGTCTCCCCTCAGTCTCCTGCTTTTCTGGTTGTCTGGGTACTCCCAAATCTTCATTTGTACTCTTCAGTCTGTTCCTTACTGCCAGGTTAGGAAGCAAGCCACTTCATAAAGTAGGTATGGGAATACTTTTCTGCTTTTTAGCAGCCTCTGAAGACCTTTTGACACAGGTATTGCACCAGGAAAGGGGTGGGAGAAAGGGCCTAATATGTACTGGAGTGAGCAGTAGCAGGATAACGAGGCTTTGGGTTAAAGCAGCGGACCAGCATGTTTGTCTATTAGGCTATGAGACCTATTTTCTCCATCCTCATCTCTCCTGAGTCTGATGTTTTGTTTATTTATAGACTGAAGACTGCCTAAAATTGGGGATGTTGCTGGGAAGCTGTTTGGACAGTGGCTGCAGCTGTGAGAATGTAGCTGCAACGAGGCTGAAGCCAGAGAGGGGCAGTTCTGGCTGTGAGAGCTACCAGCCCATGGGACTAGAGCAGAGGGAACATTGAGGGCAGATGCTGCCATTTCTGAGCTTTTCCTTAGGGACTTTCCAGCAGGAGGCAATCACAAGGTGACACAGTGACAGACACAGGTAATTGCCTGAGAACTGGGGTTTCTTGACATCCCTGCTCTCGCTCTGTCCATGCCTCTCAGGCACACACTTCTCTATTCCTGTGCCAGCTTGTCACCCTTTCCCAGATGTTTCCCTCAGTCTGCCTCTCAGATACTCTGAAACTTTTGGACTGGGACAGGGGCACACACAGGACCATGGACCTCATAGAGGGAGGAACCTGCAACCTGTGTATTACAAGATAGGTTTGTAGCTGTGCTAGAACAAATCTCATACCTATATTATTTTAAACCATTATCTAAATGCAGATCAAATCTTTTTGGCAACTTTCCACGTGTCTTGTCAGATTGGAACGGCCTCAGATCTTTGAATTTTCTATCAGATATCTACAAGAGATGCCCTGAGACCACAGAGCTGTGGCTGGCTGTGCCAAGCAGAGAGACACGAATTCCCTGTGAGTGATGTGTGCTGATGAGGAACATACTGGTGGCCT